GACTGCTCAGGCTTCTGTCCTAGTCCAGGGCTCTTTCCCCTGTTGTTAGGACTCTGCACTGTGCTCCCTGGTATAATGTAATACACACTTAGACCATTTCTCTCTAGGTTTCTTTTATACTGTCATATTGAACCACTTACTGAGAATTAAATCCAGAGTAGCAGTTTCTCTTGTTGCTTTGTCAAAAGACTTCCTCTAAAAGGAAACTGTCAACAAGGCAGGTCAATCATTTGTCAGATGCTTTGTATTTAACAGAACAAGCCTTGGAACAGTTGTCCCACTCACTGCTCTCTTGCGGGTGTTCCCATTGTGTAATCTGTGTTAGAACTTGATCATATATGGATTGCTTTCCTCAGACTGGCTTAAAACAGCAGGAGGCCAGAAGTCCAAAATCAAGGTGTTGGCAGAATTGGTTCCTTTTTAGAAGCTCAGAGGGAGAATCTGTTCCAAGTCTCTTAGCTTCTGCCGGGTGCCAGCAGTCCTTGGTGCTCCCTGCCTGCAGCTGTAGAATTCTAGTCTCTGCCGCCTTCTTCATGCAGCCGACTTCACTCTCTGCGCCTTCACATGGCATTCTCCTCTCTGTGGGTGTCTGTCTCTGCATCTCTTCTTCTCGGCTTATACGGGCACCAGTCAGGTTGGATTAAGGACTCAATGTATTCCAATATGACCTCATGTTAACTTACATCTTAATTACATCTGCAAATACCCTACTTCCAAATAAGGTCACATTCACAGGTACAAGGAGTTAGGGCTTCAGCGTAGCTTTTTGGGGACACACAATTCAACCCACAACGCTGTGTGTCCTTTCCTTTGTCTCTACTTTTATTCTTACCCTTGTATGTTTACACATGTGCTTCCAATGAATGTCAGTTGAACTGACCTTGTTTGTAGGTTTTCATGTGTATTTCCCCCACATAATTGATACATATGTATATACATATTTCATTCCTAAGTCTTAATTTACCATTTATTTTTTAGTAAACCAGTGAGATTGTGTTTGCTGTTCTATTAAAATTTCAGTGGTCTATGATCTATAATATTACACACATTTGAAGCCAGAACAGCTGTTTATATACTATGGACTTTGGCTTGTAATTTTGCTTTTTTGTATTACTTTCAGTGTCAAGGATATGTTAGCATTATTAGAATGAAGGTTAGGAGGAAGCATATTTAATGTTAATGTGATTTTTAAATATTTGTTTTAAAACTCATAAAACCATCTTAGTCTGGTGCCCTCCCTCCCTCCCTCCCTCCCTCCTTCCTTTCCTCCCTTCCTTCCTTCCAGTCTTTTTATTCAAGAATAACAGTCATAGAATGGCTGTTATCTAAAAGACAACAAAGAATGCGTTGGTGACTATGTGAAAAAGAAGGCACCCTTGTGCACTGTGGGTGGGATGGTGTGGCCACTATGGAAAAAAGTATGGAGATTCTTCAAAAAATCAAAATTGTACCCCTGAAAGTAATATAATATTGTACATCAACTGTAATTTAAAAATAAAAAAAGGAGTAAGTTAAAAATAGAACTACCATATGACCAGCAATCACACTTCTGGGCATTTATCCAAAGAAATTGAAAGTACTAATTCAAAAAGATATATGCACCCCTGTGTCCATTGCAACATTATTTACAGTAGCCAAGATATGGAAGGCACCCTAGGTGCCCGTGAATAGGCGAGTGGGTACAGAAGATGTGGCACATATGTACAGTGGAACATTACTTGGCCACTAAAAAGGATGACATCTTGCCGCTTAAACAACATGGATGGACCTAGAGGATATTATGCTAAGTTAAATAAGTCAGACAAGTATTACATGATTTCACTTACATGCGGAATCCAAAAAGCAAAACAAACAAAACAAAACAGAAACAAACTCATAGAGAACAAATTGATGGTTGCCAGATGGCAGGAGGGTGGAATTAAGTAGTACAGACTGCCAGCTATAAAGTTAGATGTAAAGTACAGCATAGGGAATACAGTCCGTTACATTGTTTTAGCTATGTATGGCCCCAAGATTTGGGTGCCAGGTACATCCATACCATTGGAGAATGGAGGTGGTTGGACCCTGCTCGGAGGCCCTCTTAGTAGACAGTTTTACAGAGCTAGAGAGCATGTATGTGTGTGCTTATGTTTACACACACCCCCACACACACCCACTTTTATGTTCATATTTTTAAAATCCATCAGTTCACCCACACCTCCAGCTTCAATCCACAGGGTTCATTCTCACCTTTTCCCTTTCTATATGTGTGTCTCCCTTCTTTGGCAGAGAGAACTCTGGGTCCAATTGTCTTTAATAGATTTTCTTATTTGATGAATCCTCCTATCTATGAAAAATCTATTGCTGCCTTGGAACCCTGCCTGGTGGAGATGCCCTCCTCTGCCTCCTCAGGCTCTCACTCCCCCTGCCAGTCTTTCCCCTCATGGATGCCCTCCTCACTCCACTCCAGTTCTCCCGTCCCGTGCAGTGGGCCCTTTGTGTGAATGTGGATGGTGTCCTCACAATTGGACGCTGATACCCACCTGTGCAGGCTGCTCTCTGCGGACAGCAGCCGTGCTCTGCCCCACCTAAGGGCAGTAGGACCAGATTGCTCGGGAAGGGAGGGAGCTGAAATTCTCTGAAATTCTTAAGTTTCACTTCAGTGTTTCTTTTTATCTTTTAAAAAAATAATCTTTTTAAAAAATTTTACAAGCTTGAGATCTTGTATTTTCTTAAATTCTGCGAAGTTTACAGAAATTTATGTCTGCAGATATTCATCAGCCTCAAGTATCTTTTCTCTTCTCCGATGTATATATTATGTGGATGTTGATCTCTATCAGTTCTCTATTCCTTATCTCTTGATTTATCTCTTACGTACTTTATTTCTTCCTGATGTCTTTTGTCAGAGTACCTTAAACCCAATATTTTAGCTTATTTATTTGTTCAACTGTATCCTTTCCTCTTCAATCCATGAATCTATTAGGGTTTTGTTTGTTTGTTTTTTTCTTGCCGCTGACTCCTCTTCGGGCTCCTTCTAATCTATTAGGTTTATTTCAGTGATTATATTTTTCATACCCAGTATTTTTATTTGCTTCATTATAACATTTCTTCCTGCTTTATTTCTAATATCCTTCCTTATTGAATTTGTTTGTTTTAAACTTTTATTTTGTTTTTCCCTGTGAGCGCCTGTGCCCCGGGGACCTCAGGCACCTTTGTTTACAAGGCCTGTGAAGTGGGGTGGAGCGAGCGGCAGTCTGGTTAGTGCTTACTCTGTGCCTATCCTGGTTAGAGGACGGTTGGTGGTGGGTAAAAGGAGAGGACTTACCCGGGTCATTAAGTGTGAGACTCCTTCCCAGACTCAGCTCTTTTCAAGAGCTGTTTTCCTCTTAAAAATCCCAGTCCAGTCCTGGCCCCTGTGGCTCAGAGGTTAGAGTGTCTGTCCGTACACCAAAGGGTCGCGTGTTTGATTTTCAGTCAAGGGCACGTACCTGCGTTTCAGGTTTGATCTCTGGACCTGGCCAGAGTGAGTGTGGGGCAACTGAATGATGTGTCTCTCTCGTCGCTGTTTCTCTCTCCCCCCTCCCCCTCCCT